AAAACATAAATATTAATACTGTCCAAACACTGAAACTGCCCGAAACGTTGAACTGCCTGAAATAGGATGTTGCAACAAGGCTGCTTTCCAAAATCTACCGAGACCTCCTTGGTCTCAATTCGTTCGCCAATCATCTGAAATACCGGGTTCCGGCCTGGCTACTGAGCCAATGGACTCCCACTTAGTCGTCTCACACGAGTCCTAAAGGAAATCCTTTTCTGGAACTAGTTGCCACTAGTTATCATGCCACTAAGGCTCTAATAACCTTCTAATCTAACTAATCGGGTCCATATGTCGAGTCCTGACGTCGCCAATTCCAAGGATAAAATTGATTGCTACATGACCAATGGGAGCCTTATATCCCAAACGGCCTCATAAACTCCATTACTTCCATGTTCCCATAACTATAGTGGCGTTCCTACGGTCGTACCGCTAGCTCAACCAGATCTAATCCATCTGGGTAATTCTGAAATCCGATATGTGGATTTGCATATCCTCACTACTGCACCCGAACTGATGGGTACTATTATTCCTTCCACGATCTAAATAACGTTGTCATGCTATCTACGAATTCTAGTGAATGTCACGGCTACACCCGCAGTCTTACTAAACTCTATCACTATCTGCCAACCTCGTGAATGCTACGGCTACACACACAGATTTACAACACTCTAGCACTATCCGTCAACATTGTGAATGCTATGGCTACACCCGCAGAGTTACAACACTCTAGCACTATCGTTCAACCTCGTGAATGCTACGACTACACATGCAGACTTACAACACTCTAGCACTATCTGCCAACCTCGTTAATGCTATGGCTACAGCCGCATACTTACAACATTCTAGCACTATCTGTCAACCTCTTGAATGCTACGGCTACACCCACAGACTTACAGCACCTTCCATACCGGTCGAACACGCACTCGACCTAATACTCAAATAAACTTGAGTCCTAACTGGAACTCTAACCTGGTTCCCGAAACCTGCTGTCTGATGCCAAGGAAAAGCATGAACCAAACATTGGAACATTTTTTGAACTCCCAAATCACCCAATCCTAAACCTAGCCGCCCACTCAACTGCCTTTCCCCCCTTACATGGATGCAAAACTCATCCTAGTTTCATACTTATTTCTGATCCTGAATACATGATCGATTCTCCCCCACTTGGATTCTACTAAGTTTTCACAACACATGAGAATTGAATGATTCCCAATCCTTCTTGCTTTCTAATAATCCACTAATGACAACCTATGCTTACCCATGCTCGCGATCACTTACCAGTTAAACCCTAATAACGCGCTTCCTCTAAAGTCTTGAAGAGTATTCTTGAAATCATGTCCAGTCTAACACCATAGTCCACCTCCCATGCTGATAACTAGAGACCTTAATCTTCACCCTGTTGAAAAATCCTCATTCCCACTTTTAATCTTGCAGCACCACTGAACTCTAACCAAACATAGCCCATGCAAAAATACAATTCTATTGAACATCCAATGACTAACCACTTATGCATCTAACACCCGCAACTAACACTACTGTTTTCATGCTACCAGTTCTGTCCTAGCAATGGTAGTGCCTTGAACTCCAAGTTCTTCCATAAACAACTATTAACCATACCTACACAAATGATAGAACCATTAAACTCTGACTTCACTGGAGAACTATCCCACTAATTCCTGACCAAAGGATCTTCCAAATAATACTTCTGAACGGATCCCAACAAAGATCCAGAATAGTAACGGTACACGTGGAACCCACTTAAAGGACTTTTCGGCATGCAAAATGGCAATATAACAATCCTTGATAACCCAGACAATGGCAGAGAACCGGCCTGAGATCTAACTTATCCAAACTCAATCAAAATTCCAAATTGATACAGATTCCCTGACATCCACCTAGTAGCATTAAAAGATGACATACCCGCAACATTTGTAGGAATCCTCATCACCTTCTCCAGAGATACTTCTACCCTCCTAAGATCATGGTGCAAAACTCTCTTTCGATCTCAATGATAGGGACTAACAATAGGATCCTCCTTCCTGACGGATTCTAGGGATCCACAGGCTCTGGGCTCCTAGTGAGCCCCTAACTTCCCCTCGAAAAATCTAACCTGAAAGGCCTCGAGACTACTATCGAGATCTCCCAACGTCCCTTCCTTGGTTGAAGGAAAGACCACTGAGTTCCATTCCAAAACTCTACAAGTAACATCCGATGAGATGAACTTCTTAGATCACGCATCGATTGGCCCATGCCCTGCTCCTGAGTCGGATCCAGAATCCGAATCCCATTCCTGAATGCTCTACACCATACTGAACTGACATTCCAAAGATCCGAATGTACCCAAGAATCTTTATCCCAAAGGCTTCTGGATTATCCAAGGCTCTCCCTGATTCGAGTATGGATCTTGTGCTTTCAGTAGTACGGGCCCAATACTACCTTCCACACCTATCCATACGTTCCTCAAGAGTCATCCCGAATCCTCTAATTCACCTTCTCAAAATGATACCCTGAATGCTCGCTAACAACGTAACCAAATCTAGCAAAGCATTTCCTAGGCTTTCCTAGGTTCTCAACCTCAAATAGTCCTTAGTTGCTGAAAGATTACCAGAAATGTTAGCTACCTACCTCATAAATATAGCCACATGCAATAGAGATCAAATAATCCTTTGAGTAAAAGACTCAACCCTAGAACAGTTAGACTCAAACGAGAGGTGCGTAATATGGTCAAATCTATCACTCTGAGATTATTCAGCCAGTATCACATGTAACTTAGCATATTCACTTAATTGCTAGCTCACATTACTAAGAGTCCCACAAACCACAAAGCAAGCAGAATTTAGACAATGGAAAATCTAACCCACATATTCCAATCAAATCATTTTGTCCTCTTATCAGGAATCTACATTGGCATGAGATTCTAAGGCTCATACAATCAGGCATAACCTAAACATGTTATCCTATCACTAACTGATCAGTACTATCATGCAACTCAATAAGCACATACAGCAGGCGTAAGGGATCTTCCTAGATCCTTAGCCCTAATCTAGCATGAAGTTCTCATACAAATACAGTAGCCATATATAAGGGACAAAATTGCAAAAATGGTCCCCGTAGTTTCTTATTTTATGTGGTTATGGTCCAAACGTTTGAAAAGTTGCAGATTTGGTCATTTTCAACCATTTTTGTTGCGGTTTTGGTCCCTCATTCGTTAAGTTTAACTGGTTAGCTGTTAACTTTTTTAAAATGACAATTTTACCTTTAGAGACCATTTTCGCAGTTTTTTCTTTTACCATACCATAAGTACCATTTTTGCATACATTCTTTTCGATTTTATTGAAGTATTATATAATAATAAATATTATTTTTAATATATAATATTATATATTAATAAATATTGTTTTATTGGATTATTAATTTATTATGGTTGATTTTTTAATTTGTTTTGTTAGAGTAATTCTTTTTATTGAGTTATTATATTTCAATACATATAGTTTTTAATATATACTATTTATATCATAATAAATATTATATTATTAGATTATTAATTTCTGTTAGTTAATATTTTTAATTCTTTTTTTTAAATTATTTTTATAGGTTTAATTAATTAATTTTTTTCTTCATATACTAAATATTGTTTTATTGGATTATTAGTTTATTTTAGTTAATTCTTTTAAAAGAAACAATTGTCAAAGTAATTATTTTTTATTGAATTATTATATATCAATAAATATAATTTTTAATATATAATATTTATATCATAATAAATATTATATTCTTGGATTATTATTATCTTTTAGTTAATTTTTGTAATTTCTTTTTTTAAACTATTTTTTATTGGATTATTACTTTTAATTTATTATTTTCTTCATATACTAAATATTATTTTATTGGATTATTAATTTGTTTTTAATTATAATAATAGTTCTTGTTAATTTTATTGGTTCCACCACAAAGTCATGGGATACGCAAAACCGATGTCTCTCATCATTGAAATTGTTAGGATCATTGTCAAACAGTTTCATTTCATCCAGCTTATAATGAGAAACCTTGGGGAAAATATCACCACCATCACTCGGTCACCGCCACCACTTATAAATGTTATAGGGGTTTGTTGTGCATTATGTGAGATAAAGGATTCAATTGGATTATGAAGAGGTTATCGCAGGTGGCTACTAGCAACGCTAGGTGGAATATGGTAGGGTATCTATTGAACCTCCAATGATGGTGTTTGGAGGTGATCCTTACTTTTTGGTGAAACTAATAAAATTAAAAACAATTAATAGTATACATTAAAAATAAAATAATAATCCAACAAGATAATATTTATTATATTAAGAAAATAAATTAAAAGTAATATTTCAACAAATTAATAATTCAAAAAAAAAACAAACTACAAAAATTAATAATCCAATAATATATTATTTACTATGATGTAAATATTATATATTAAAAATATTATTTTTTGATATATAATAATCTAATAAAAAAGAATTGCTCCAACAAAAAATAAATTATAAAAAGAGTCAACTAAAAGAAATTAATAATCCAATAAAATAATATTTTGTAATATATAATAATACTGTTAGTCCCAAAACTATAGATCCAAATCAGTAATCAGTGAAGTAATAACAATCAAAATAGAGTGTAGAAGGAGTAGAAGAGAAATAACATCAAGCATGCACACATCTATTGCTCATAAATGTCAAGTACACCTTGAAAGTACACACACATATGTCACTGTTCAGCAACAAGTACAATCTGACACAACTCAGCTACTATAAATAGTATCCCTACCAGCACACGAGTGTGCAGCCATACACGCGTGTGCGGCCACACACCCGTGTGAGGCTGCACACATACAAGTTCAAACACAATTACACTTCTATACAACCACTGACACCCTGATCAGATCTATACAAAATTAATGCCTAGCTCAAAACACAATATTATGGACCTTCAATCTCCCCCTTGGTTTGAGACTAGCATAGTCTTGAACTTCATTCATTTGACATCTTGGTTGGCTTCTCATACAGCTTTAGATCTGATCTTCCCATCAAGCCCATCCACAACCTTCCGTTAATGATTGTAGCCACCATTGCAGTAAACTCTTTGGCAGCTGCTTCCATAACGTCTTTTCTGCAGATGATTTGGTGACGAGCCAAAGTTCGGATATCCCTCTGAAAGACCCCAACTTTCATATTTTTGAAAGATCCAAACTTTCATATTTCACATTATCATTACTCCAAAACATGCTATTTTCATATTCATAAAAAGCAATATTTTACATTGATATAAAGGATTTACAAACTATTGGATACAAACCTTCTATTACAAAGTGTTATATATATTACATAACTACCCAGGATATTGTAATTTATACAAACATAAAAAGTAGTTACAAACTATTCTACATTTTTCAATAGTATGTAAACATACTATTTATTTATCACCTGCAATTGTTAAACATTGATAGGGTAAGCGGTGACGCTTAGTGAGTTCAAAAATAGATACAATATAATGTTATGCCATATATATACTTCAATGTGGCAAGGCAAAGAGGAACAACAAGATGTATGTGAGATCATGTAACAAGCGTTCATATCAATCAAAGACATTATTCAAAGATATTCTTTTCAATTCTTGATATACATCAATAAAGCTTTGGCCCAATTGGCATAGAAGACATGCAATTTCTGATTAACATCTTGTTAGATTTCAGTCTTATAGTCCTGTCTAACCATTTACCAATGCCATAGAATAGAAGTCATTCTCTTACGGAGACATGCTCTACATGGCCAGAGGCTACGTACCAGTACCAATGTGAATCTAAGTCCTTTCACTGATCACATAGTCAAAGGTATTACAATTGCTATAAACATAGCGAATAACACGAGAAAATAACTCAGAATGATAATACTGGAAAGCACATAGCACATATAACACATAACATACAATTGTTCCTAGATATTGAACTCACCTTAAGTTAACCGGGGGTTAAAATAGTAATTTGGACAGCACTTCGGCTTTAAATATGCCTTTCTATGTTGAAAATCGGGAGTTTGTTTGAAAACCGGGCTCCGCGAAGGTAGGGATTCAAAACCGAAAAGATAAAATTTTTGGGCTTCTCGGGGGTCTCGGGACGTGTTTCGGGTGCTAAAATTGATTTCGGGGCTTCGAGGAAAGTTAATATGAAGAAAATATGGAAAGAAGGGCTAAAAGCGTCAAATTTTCAAAGTTAGTCGGCAAGGTTCGCAGGCCCCTTTATATAGGGTCGAGGTTCGGATGTCGGCTTAAGAAGCGAAGCTCGGTGGAAGCAGCAGAGCGAAGCAGGTGGCGCGAGAGGGAGGCTCGGATGCGAGGCTCGACTGCGAAGCTGGTAGGCGCGACGTGGAGGTGCGAGACTCGGACACGAGGGCGAGGCGCGTCGGAAGCCAATTGGCTCGCACTTCGGTCGAATCACTGAGTGGCACGCATCGCTTCTCTGATTGGTCCACGACGTCGGTGACGCAGCACTTCGTGCGAAGTGACGTGGCAGCGACGAGGACTCCGGTGGCACGTACTGTTCATGCGAAAATCTCGGAAATTGAGCCCCGAACTTCTAAAAGCCATAACTTTCGCATACGAGCTCCGTTTTTATGTTCTTTATATGCACGCGTAGCTAAAGTTACGCTCTACAACTTTCGTTTAGACTTCGTTGGCTAATTTTGACCTTAATTTTAATATTATTATTTTTAACACACCGGGACAGGAAAATCCGTTAAAAAATTCATAACTTCTTCATCCGACATCCGTTTTCGTCAGACTTTTTACCGTTGTACTACATATGAAGAGACCTTCGATTCTCGTTTAGGATGTATTGGTAAAATATCGTTCGATCTAAAATTCGAGTTTTTAGCTGTCTACTGCTAAGTTGAAACTTCGAAAACTCATAACTTCCTCATACGAAGTCAGATTTTGGCATTCTTTTTATCGAATTTCTCAGTTTAACAAATACTACGACTTTCATTTAGATTACTAAGGCTAAAAATTAGTTTATCAAAAACTCACTTTTTACATCATTCGGCACCGTGCTGGTTTTGTCGCGGATCTTCGGTTGGTCATAACTTCTTCGTTGTAACTTGGATTTTGACGAGGTTTTCGCCTACAAATTTCTAACGAGATTCTATATAACATCAAATAATAAAATTTTACTTATTTAAAATTTCATATTTTCACTAAATTTCACTATTTGTCTTTTAATTAGAATCTCATAAGACTTCCAATATTTTCTGAGTGATTCTAAACATAGTTTTACTTCATTTCTAGTAAAAACCATCTGTTACAACTCAACACTCAATTTTACATAATATTTCACAATTTTATTCATTACAAAACACGATTTTAAAACGTGTATGTTACACCCTCTCTCTGAATCGAAGAAGATCTTTGGCACTTATCAACCTCTGAACTTGTTCCTGATCCTTGAATTTGATAGCAGCAGTTGCAGTTTCGTCATCATAAGCCCAAAATTCCATTTTATCAAGATATCCTTCATGGAAGTGTTGAGGGATAGGAATTTCCTTTTGCTGCTTAGTCGCAGGCCAATGTATGATCTTTATAGGCTCGCCTGATTCACGATCTAGAATTTCTTTGTCTTTTCGGTACAAGGCTCTTGCAGTCTTCATTGATAGAAAATTTTCTTTTACTTGTTTGTCAAGAAACCTTTTAAATTTTGAGGCATTGGGATCTTCCGAGGGGTTATGGAATGGGGCCCTTGATAGTTCAGCAAGATCCACTTTTGTCTATGAGTTAAAATCATGGGTGCTCTTGTAATACTCAGGAATGCCTGAGTTTCTTTTCACAACCCACATATTTGTTGCAGGATCAAAGGCCCACATTCGAATTCTCGATCTATATCCGTACTCATCACTAAATTTTCTTTTCTTTAGATCAGTTACAGTCAGAACAAGGTCTTTTGCCTTGCGATTCTCATTTCAATTTTTCATGAATAGTAAACCATCACGTTTGTTGGTTGTTATGGTTCTCTTGCCCTGTTTGATTGTTATTCTAGCTCTGCTTCCCTCTGGCTCCTTTCCAAATCTATTGACAGTAGTGGTTGTTCTTCGAGCAGGTGGATCGACTGGAAAGTCTTCAGAGACAGACTGTGTGGGGGTTGTGGGAGGATCATCGACTCCATGTGGCTGTTGAAAAAGAGCCTTGACTTTTTCACCAAAAGCGTCATACTCAACGTTCTTTAAGTTGAAGTAACTAGCTGTTACTAAACCAAGATTCGTCTGTAGATCTTTAATCTGTTTTGTTTTCTCCTCATCCTTTGCTCTCAGATCCTCAATGTAAGAATCGAGTTGATCCATCTAAATGGTCTTCTTAATAAGTTCTTGACAGAGAACCTCGATTTCTTCACGAAGATCAGAAGTGGAAGATTTGTCATCACCTGCACACTCCTCTATAAATAATATTCCTTTGCTATAAGAGGAGGTTGGATTGTGTTGGGCCAGGTGTTTTACCAGCCTTATAGAAGCTTCATCTAATGAAGGTCTGGCGGGAGAATATTCTAGAATTGATGATGAGCCACCAGTCTCAAACATAGTGCTCAGACCTTCATTAGGTTGTTTTGGTGGAGAGTAAGCAGTGGAAGCAGTGATTGTGGAGAGAACTTGAGGAGCACTGCCGATAGTGGGTACCTCCAGACTTGAAAAAGATTGACTTGTTTCCATGGAGGTTTGGGGCTGAGTTGAGTCAGGAACAATTAGAGCAGATGTTAAGATGGATGACACAAAGGGAGGAATCTCTGATGTCACATCTCCTTAGCTTGATGTAACCTCTAGGGGCTTTGAAGTACAGAGAAAAATCTTGAGAGTGTTTCCTTCATCTCTAGTCTTGGTAGCTAAAGAAGCAACTTCATCGACTTTATTAGGACATGTAACATCCGGAATCCCAGGTATATTATTTTAATATTTTATTTTTGGAATTTGTGAAGGTACTCGGCGAGTTGATGCTTAGACTCGCTGAGTAGGGTCGCGGTTGATCATCCGGGTTCGTATTGGACTCGCGAGTCCATGAGTGGACTCGGTGAGTACACGCTGTTTAATGAAACCCTAATCCTCCGGGGTTGGAGCCTATTTAAGGTCACTCTTAGCCTCCCATTGCAGCTACCAGTCCCTTGAGAGCACCCTAAGTGAGATAGATCGTTTGAGAGGAAGGAGAAGCCATATTTGACCGTTCTATTTTTGGTTTAGCAAAAAGAAGGTGATCAAGAGTAAGAGGAGACTGAAGAAGGTGTGGTTCTAGTGGTTGCAGAGTTTAGAGACTTCAACTTGAGGTATTTATTCGGACCTTCTTCAGTTTTGGTATTGATACCTAGACTTAGGGTTTTCTATCCACCTTTGAGGATGTTTATTTGGAGCAATTGGTCCCTTATCGAGTTTATGCTTTGGATCTGGACTCAAAGAGGTCCAGAGACCTTAACCCTTATAACTTTATGAGTTATCTTGGGAGTTATGAGCTTAGGATGCCATTTTTGGGCTTAAATCTCCAAGTGTTACTATCTAGATGACATATGAGTGTCAAGGTCTGAATTTACGTAATTATTATGCTTGGGAAGGACAGATCTATGGATTTGAGGAACAGATCTGACCTCAGGAGGTCAATAGAGTTTGTGCATGGCATGTACTCGCCGAGTTGTTCTTGAGACTCAGCGAGTTGAGTCGGGGTAGCCCCGCGATTCTTACCTGACGGCTCGTCGAGTAAAGGTAGGGACTCGACGTGTTAAATGGGACTAAAGAGTTAAGTGGACACAGGTGGACTCACCGAGTTGCCCAAGTGCTCTCGCCGAGTCGGGTCAAAGTTTGACCGTTGACTTTGGTTGACTTTTAAGGTTTGGTCGATAATGAGGGCCTTTGAGCCAAAGGAGGGATAAAATGGTCTTTTACCCTTCTAAGGGTGCTTAGAGAGAGAGTCTAAGAGATATATATTTATGAGAGTATTACTTTATGTGTTTAGGCGGAGGCTATATCGTATTTCTACCATGTCAGTGATTTACCGGGACATCCTACGAGGTGAGTCTTCTCACTATACTGTACGTGGAAGGGTACCTATGTGTGACCAGAAGGTCTGGTATGCTATAAGATATATGCAATGTATGTGATTAGTTACCCATTTTGTATGTGTTATGTATGCTATGCTTGTTATGGGCCGGAAGGCATTATGTTATGGGCCGGAAGGAATTATGATGTAGACCGGAAGGTCAGGGAGTTTTGGACCGGAAGGTAGACACGGGTAGGACCGGAAGGTTTACCGAGTTGGGACGGAAATCCACTGAGACACATGGACCAGAAGGTCATGGCCTGGAAGGCTGTATGTGTGTAAGTGGTATTTTGGGGAACTCACTAAGCATTTATGCTTACAGTTGTTGTGTTATGTGTTTTAGGTACTAGCAAGGACCGTGGGAAGGCGCCGGCGTGATTCGTACACATTAGAGAAAGGATTTGATTTTTGTGATCTTGGGACACGATATGTTTTGATAATTATTGTTGGATGTTTTTGGAAATATTTTATGTGAAAATGGTTGTGACAAAAATGAAATTTTTGTTTTGAAAATTACGTTGTTACAAGTTGGTATTAGAGCCTAGGTTTGAGGAATTCGGATGCACCTTCGGGCGTAACTGAACTCAAACCGAGGACTTGAAAAACAATTCCAATAATAAAAGCATTAAATTTTACAAGAGGTTTTGCGGTAACCAAAGAGGAGCAGTGTGTACGGTTAGCCAACGCCCAAATGGTAAATCCCCAAATTACCCTTACAATATGTGTTATGAGATATGCTATGATATATGTTATGCATGCTAGAGTAGGCTAGGTATTCATATTAGGACTAGAGTGGCCTGATTTGTGATGCCTTAGTCTAGGAGAATCCTACTGCTATGAGATGCCTTGAGAGAGAGTAGGTAGCCAGTTCATAGTGGGAATAGAGTACTTGCGATCGGGGATCCAAGGAGGAGGACTTGGGGTGAGTGCTGATGCGGTGTGGTCGGTAGTATAGAGCCCGTACTACTGAAGACACTGGATCAGTGAGCACTCCAAGTGAGAATCCTTTGGGTATCGGAGGACGAGTAGGGTTGCGTTATCGAGTGCGAGTATGCTCGATCGAGTCTCTGATATTTTTATGTTGTATTTTAGAGGCATCATGGTTGGGACACGTCACAAGCCTGAGGTGAGTGGTGTGAGTGACGAGGAGCTTCGTCAGATGATCCACGATGAGGTGGCTGCGGCAATCAGGGCCGAGATTCCGGAGATGTTTGGGTCTATCAAGACCACATTGTTGGAGACTTTTGATGAGCGGTACACCGCGGTGACTGAGGCTGCAACCGTTGCAGCTATAGCAGTTGTGGCTGCTGCCAAACCTCAGGGAGGTGACTCGTTGTTACTCCAAGAGTTCAGCAACACGAAGCCAACCGAGTTTGATGGGATGCAGGATTTGATCGTTGTGATGAGATGGATTGCTGACATTGAGGGATGCTTCTATACGTGTTCATGTCCGGAGCATCTAAGGGTACGGTTCGCTTTGAACCAGCTTCGACTGGGAGCAAAGGATTGGTGGAAGTTCGTGACAGCGAACTTGACTCTTTCAGAGACTTCAGCGGTGACCTGGGAGAGGTTCACCACCATATTCACAGACGAGTATGTTCCCCCAGTGGAGAGGGAACGACTAGTTCAGGAGTTCTTGACCCTTAAGAAGGGTAATGATTCAGTTACTGTGGTCACCCGGAAGTTTCATGAGAGGGCGATGTTCTGCCCTGAGCAGGTGTCTTCTGAGCAGGCACGGATGAGCCGGTATTTGGTTATTCTAAGGAAGGACTGTCACACCCCCGAACCAGACGGCGGAAACGTCCGAGGGCTGTTGTGACTTAATTGAATTCCATAACATTGAATATATATGAAACATAACATCATTCGTCACCATGCATTAATATAGTACAACTGGTAATGTTTACACTGAGTACATTGTTTTAACATTACATTCCCAAAAACAAATTGTTCGGTTCATAGCTAAACAAACTGCAAGCCATCACTGAGTACATTTTCCTTTGGTTCACTTGTTACCTGAGAATACAAGTATTTTGAAAAACGTCAACATATGAAATGTTGGTGAGTTCATAAGCGGTATTTGAAAAGCAACGTTTTGTATTATTTTGAAAACCACCAGAAAATCCGATATTTTATGAAAAGAGTTTCTGAAAAGGTTTGTGAAGATCCATAAGTATGCTTGTTTGTTTCTAAAAAAAATGTTCACTAAACTTGTGTACATTTCACCAGTATTATTCACGTAATCCAACCGCCCTGACTTCATGTAGTCCCACATCCGAAGAGAAAGAGGGCACGAAGACCTCGGTAACTCCGTTAGCCGGTTGGGGATAAAAAAAAAGAGTACGAAGGGCCCTTGGCCCACTCGCATGTGAATAACCGACTTTACTAGCAGTACCAAAGGACCCTTGGGGACCAATAGTAAAAAGCCATTGAAAGTCCTTTTACGCTGTGTTGGCTCATGTAAGACCCAACAACTCGTAAGGTTGGAGTCTTCGGGCCTAAAGATCAGGTCATTGGGCTAGCTAGGCCCAACAAACAATATTTTACACTTTGGGGCCCAAAGATGGTGCGTCGATGTCTGTGCACTCTCACGTGTGTATTGAATTCCCAAATGATTCCGTGTATGAGTCGAGTTATTGTCGTGTTAGTAGTTTCGGGTTTGTCATTGATTCGAGACCGAATCAATTCGTTTGATAAAGATTTTTGGTGTTGTTGTGTAATATAATTCGTCGGTAGCCAGTGTTTGATCACAACAGATGTATTGAATTAACATTTCAACTTTTCTGTTACAGCCCCTCTTTTTGTTATAAATTTACTTTTTCAACCCTTTAAATAAATAAATTTCCGATTTGGTCCTTAAACCATTTTTCTTGACGTTTTAACACCAAAACTTATTGAAATTGATATTTTTCAGCATATTTTTAGTTGAAAACAGTTTTGGTCCCTGAAAATATAGTTTTCTCGGTTGAAACCTTCCTTTTTCGCAAATTTACACTTTTGCCCCAAATTGGAAAAAATTTGCAACTTTGGTCCTTTTTAATTATGAAAAGCATTTTTAACCTTAGAAAAGGACTTGGGACACTTGTAGTCCACTGTTTTGCAAAAAAATACAGTTTTGGCCCTTCAAAACAGAAAATTTCACATTTTGGGCCCTATTGGGCCAAAAATGTCATTTTTAGCCCATTAAGCTTGAAATTTATATTTTCAACCCTCCAAAAGAGTATATTTCCAGAAAATACTTTATTGAAACTGTTTTGACTCTTCTCATCCATCAGAATTCGTAATATGTCATTTTGGGCCCTTTAACTTTATATTTTTACCATTTTATGTCCAAAAATTGAGTTTTTAGCCCAAAGAAGATGTTATTAAGCCACTTAGCTATTTTTCTTGGAATAATTTGTATGTAGAAATATATTTGATGCTAGTATCATTTAACATAAAGTATATCTCGATGTTTAGGGGCTTATGGTTAGATCCAACATCATAAACACACAAAAACACACATATAAGCATAGAAATCATACAAGGAATACAAAACACATATAGATCTACACTTTCACTTGTATTCCCCCCCCCCCACAAAACTTATAAAACAGAAAGTTAGGGAGTATGAAGCTCACCTTTGGATGTG